TCTCACACTGGTCTTCTAGCAACAGAAATTTTCTGACCCCCTAAAATGCTGAGAAATAGTAGCTGCATGGATCACCTCTTTCATAGTTATGTATTTGCCTTGTGGCAGCAGTTTACTAAATAAAATTAAATTTTCTTACCGGTCTAGGCCGTGTCTCTCTCAGGAATGATTTCAGGTCACCTCCAGCCATGAGCTCTAGCAGGATGAAACGGGGCAGTGCCTGCAAGCTCACCCCGATACAGCGAACAATATTCTGGTGGTTGAACTTGCTGTGGAGACAGGGAAACTCAATTATGGAGCAGCTTTGATCCAAAAAGCACAATTGCGGAAAAGAATAAAAACGTTTTGCTGTAGGGAATGTTTTTGTTGTTGTTGCTGGTTTTTTTCTTTTTTCGTTTTTTTTTTTTCCCCTCTTTTTTTTCCCAGAAAGTAACACATCTCAAAGGCAGGGTAATTGGATAAAGCTAAAGTGCTACCCCTGCACCTGGTGTTTTTCTGCATAGCACAGAAACAAAGGTGGGGAAGGAGTGGCTTTTGGCTGCTTTTCCTTTTCCTATAGTCTATATCCTTTTTGGACTACAGCAAGATTTGTGGGCCATAGGAAGCAGGGAATGTCTGTTAACAGAGAAAAGTCTGCTCCTAGTTTCCCTATCCAAAGGGCAGAAGCTGGGCTAGGGTGAAGCTGTTCCACATAACATACTGACACAGCAATCTGCTTATGTAGGGGATATTCCTCAAGGTCTAGTCTCTAATACTTTCTTGTTTCTCCACACCTCAATGTTGTGGTAAACTATTTCCATGGATTCTAGGACTCAGTCACTGATATGTGACATGACAGCAGCATTAGGTCAATCCTATCAGTTAATTTTGACTAGTCAAACCCAACTCCTAAGGTTTGTTTTTACATCACGTTCTGATTTCTAGGAGAAATCAAAGGATCCTATTATAAATTCTGAAAACTAGGCCTAAGGATTTTAACTCTGGATAATGAAAACCACTGTGGATCCTCTTGAAAATTTGGCCCTTAATCATCTGGTGCCTCTTCATTTGTAAGAAGAATAGAAAAGGATGGTAATGCCTATCCTCTGTAAAATACTGACAGCCATACCCTAAAACTATTGTATAGATGTTGCCACCTCTCAAAGCGCCTTTTCTTCCTTGCAGTGCTGGGCTTTGCAAGCCTACACAAGTGCTGTTCATCTTATTCATACACACCTAATAATGAGAGCTTCCATGAGGAAGTCCAGCTCATCTTGCTCTGAACACACTTCTGGTAATGTCTGTAACAGAAAGAACACGTTGACAAGGAGAAGATATTTAAACTTACAGATGTAGAACACCTGGCACAATCAAAAGCACTAACATTGTCTGGAGCAATCCTTGTTTCTCTAAAAGAAACCTCATTCTAAGATAACAGCTAGATCGTTACTAAAGAATACAAAGCCTGTTGAAAGGCACAAATCAGAACACATCACTGTCATCCTCCTCCCAGCAAAGGAAATACCCCAGAGTGCACAGGGAACTGTGCTCAGTACTCAGGATGCCACTGTATAGAGGATAAGGAATGAGACCACAGCTCCTGAGCTCTCTGACAGTTCAATACTCCTACCTCCCAGCTAGACTATGAACTACAACCAGCAGTAGGACTGTGCTGCTATGTAACCTCTAGGAGAAAACAAGCTAGCTAGGCTGCTGAAGGCCTGGAGAAGCCTACCATGGTCTCAGGATTTAGCTTCACATCCAGTGCATACCCATCCTGTAATGGAGCCGTGAGATCCCTAGAAAACCAGCCATCTCCTACCTGCAGGCTCTTTGATGTATTTGCCAGCTACTCTTGGCTCTATGAAGACTTCTGGTGTCTGGCTCAAAGGCTTTGGAGAGGTTACCACACCAGATGTAGTATGTGGAGGATAGACAGAGGATTTATTTCTCATCCCTGCAATCTACTGCAGTTGTATGGGAAAACTTTGCCTATTTGCTACTTACAGACCTCTTTTAATAGTCTCCAAGCCCATATGCTACAAGCTGTACCGCTGCTAAGATGGATTAAAGTGTTGCAATAGAGCACCAACCTTTCTAGCCATATCCTTCAGTACTACAGTAATGCTTAATTCATCTTCATTTCTGTAATGCATTGGGACTCTTGGGTGAAAGGTGCATGAAACCATCATCATAACTCATACACTGTCACTTACTTTCACAGCCACCTGCAAGGGAGTGGGGTCGCTGGGGATCCCTGCCACCTGACCTTCATATACCTCACCAAAGGCTCCGTGGCCCAAACCCCTGGACAGACCAGAGAAGACAAGAAGGTTTTACTACAGAGAACACACATTATAACACTATGGTCACAGCTCACAGAACCGGCTCACAATTGTCATGGTAGTGAAACAGGGAGAACTGGATATTGGACTGATGATACCACTCCACATACTACACAGGGGATCAGACCTTGATGTGATCCTTCCTGGACCTACAATGTATTTAATCGGCAGGGAAAGAAATCCTCAAAAGTGAATAGTCCCCAGTGAAATCAATCTGCTGGCACTGCAGTGTGTAATGGATAGCACTGTTCTATGGCTTTGGTGTCTGTGCTCTAGTGGTGGGTGCTCCAAAGCAGGCCAATAAAAATAGGTCTTAAGTCTCAGTGTTCCCCTATCCTAAACACATTAACAGTTCCCATGATGTTTATGCATCACCATTAAAGAAAACCTTGAACAAGAAACTAGAAAATACAATGGTTCTCAAAGGACCTGAATTCTAAATCAAGTATCTTTTCTTGATTTATTTTGTGATTTTGGGTAAGCACCTTAGCCAGTAAATGGTGATGACAGTGCTTTATAAAGCACTCAGTTCTAGGAATTCATGCTGAGAATTGTTTCTGGCATTGATCATATTATGAAATTTACAGTTTTATTTTGAATAAAGGTACAAGAGAAAGGAATGAAAGTAATCACACAACAGATCCTGTCCTATGTCCTTGTGATACAGATTTTGCATACCTGTCAACTGGCACAACAGTAGCTGCCACATAGGTGGCATGTCATAACAACATAGTAAACTCTGCCAGAGAATGAGGATGCATCCCAGAAACTGAGCCTCTCTTCAGCCTGCATGGGCTGCACATTGGGCAGTAGTAGTTTCGGCCTCTAAGAGACAATCCTGCATCTCGGTCTGGGTAAAAGGCTCTCAATAAGGCTCTCTTCTATAACACGCACTTTTCTGGTAGAGCCAGGTATGGCCTGAGAGCTGCACTGATTCTGTTCTCTGGTCTACTGGTGGACTGGGTTTTGCATGGGCTGTTCTCCTTCTACCAGTTCAAACAGGTGCTGCAAAGGGCAATCTGCTCTGTTGTTGCATAAGCTCTGTCTGCAGTTTTGTCAGGATAAAGACCAGTCTAGGCAGTGAAACCACAGTGAGGACTTGTGTTGCCTGTGACTCAACCACTTCTTTTAATAACATTTTGTAGGTATTAGCTTGAGGCACTATTCTTGGCTATGTCTGACGAACTTATTACAAACTGAGGGTATAAAACAGATCTCTACAGTTTATAACTCACACTCCTCCCGAAAAGCTCACTTTCCCTGCCCTTATAAATTCCCAGCTGTATCTTCTGCTCTCTGCAGCTTGCCACATGTCAAAAATCCTTTTGGAGCCCAAATGACAAAGGCAGCAGCAGCAGCACAAGGCAGACTGGAAACCTCCAGATGCAGTCCAGCAAGATGCGCAAGTAAGGGGGAATGAGATAAGAGACAGCAAAACATAAGACTGCATAGACTGCTGTAAGCATCATCTTTTTTAGCTCCATAAGCTTCCCAGTCTTTTAAGCTTTCTTGCTTTACTTTTTGGCTTTTTGTGTAAAACTGCATCCTACCAGGATAATGTCATATTCACAAGTGGCATGCACTATATCCTGCAGTAGATCAAGGTGGAAAAGAAATCTGAATTTTCAAGTTTTTCTTCAGAGACTATTTTGAACTTTCCAGAAGTTCTGATCTAGACATGACTATCCTGCTGGCTTTATATTCCTGTCTTTTTAATTCTGTCTGGCAGTCTCAAACTCACTGCTCTTCCTGCTATTGTACTTCAGGATGCAATTTTCTTTACCAAAGATCCCATCAAAGACTTTAAAAGAGCCTCCTATCAGTCTTAGCCTTCCTAGCATTTAATCAGTTAATACTGGAAATAGGCCATTCATTGCACAGTCTGCAAACGATGGGTCTAAATTACTGGTGACAACTCTTCAGTTCCTCTCATATTCCCAGAAGATTAACACTGCACCTGTAAAAGGACAAGGAGACTGCCAAAGTCTAGTCCTCTCCACGTAAGCCTAACTACTGCAGCTTTACATCTTTCTTACAAAAAGTGACATGAGTCAAAAAGTGCATGAGAGTTTCTATGTGCCTGCACAAAGACATGAGTTCATACCCACATAAGAGAGACAGCATATGTGAATGTATAGTGTGAAGCATTGGAAAGGTGAAGATGAATTTACCGTATGAGGGAAATGTTTTTTCGAGGCACCTCTTTGAGGTCACTAATGGATGTGGTCTTTCCTGCAAAGCAGTAGTTGGGATTGTAGTCTGTCATGATAGTGGAGGTACGCAGCTTGCTCAGTTTATATTCTGGGCTCTGTAACTCCATTTGCATGGCTTGTAGCTCCTGGTGCTTCCGACGATACACTACATATGGAGAACACAGTAAACCAGAGACACAGATTGACTTTGAAACAGGACAGCAGCCGTGTGGTGCATCTCACTGGAATTCATTGTGTGGCCAAATTTCAGTGAATCAAATCAGACAGTGGCACCATTGTATTTCTGCACATTGAATAATTACAGCTAGAAAATTAAATCTGAAGTTCTCCAGGATGAAGAAGCCTGGAGAGGCAGGCTTGCTCATGAACTGTTTGGAAAAAGTAAAATGAATTTCACTTGCAGAGATCTCCAGTTTCATAGTTCTGAGGTTTTTGTTTTGTTCTGTTTAGATTAACTGGACCTTCCAAATATGAGTCCAGTTCCAAACTTGAGGGAGTCTGGGTATAACCAGCTTTCCTAAATCACACAGAAGTGACTAAAAGTCTGAAATTAATTATTGCATCATATTGTTCAAAATGGAGAGAGTAAACAGCTACCTCAGAATAACACATTGCACATAAAATTAGCTCATTTTGCAAAACTTCCTGCTTCTAAACTATGGAGTTGGACTAAATTTGAAATCAGTTTATGGTAGTGTTATGTTCCTTGAAACACTTCACTGATACTTCTGAAACATCCTTAGAAATCACACCTTGAAAGAAGATACCCTGTGGATATTCCTTGAAATAGTAATTGATATCATGATATTTTTTTCAAAGCAAGATGCCAATCATGAGCAGGTTAAATTGCTATTTCCCCTACTATTGATTTCTGTGGGAGCTGGATTGAGCCCAAAGACAGTGACAGTAATAGCAATTGCATCTTCTCCAGCAGATGTTGCTCAGGGGAAGAATTTAAGGGATAAACATGCACTCGCAAAGGCAGACGGATGTAATGACCTATCCACAAACTCTTTCTGTCCTTCATTTTCCTCCTCATTGCTTTTGCTTTGATTTTTTTTAAATCGCTACTCTTTCCTGAGATGATAATGATAGACTGGTTGGATGGAAAGAGGATTGCTCTTCCACTCCCTGAGAAGTAGCTAGTAATTTTAAAGGGGTACTGTCAGGCCAGAAATCATACATGTAGGACCATATGTGTGCAACTGATAACTCCTGAAATTCTTAAAACTGAAACAGCTGCACAAATCTAATTTAATAATTTTCATTTGCTGCTCTGGGTACATCGCTCTGTTCCCCCAGACTATGTAGAGTGTGGACAAAGAAAGGTGGCAGAGCTGTGGTTTGAATCCCTGGCTGCTTTTCATTGATTCAAATCTATGCTGCTTGCAGTCAAATACAGGTGAGCAATTGTTTAAAATAAGAAAATGAAAGGGTGAAAAATACCTCTTGGAATGACAAATAAAGATACCAAGAATGCTCACATCCTACTAAGCAGCGGTTTGTAAAAGGGGAACTTATGTGAGAATTTCAAGCTTAAATTAAGAGGCTAAATCTGTATACAGTAACACAAATGAAAAAGCTCGCTTTTAGACATTAAGCACCAACAGCTCTCACAAAACCAGTGGCAGCTATGTTGTGGCAGCTTTACAGTATAATACAAGCAAGAATGTCTTTCAAGATGCACTCAGTAACTAAAACCTCCTCAAATTGGTCACTGTGACTAGAAAAAACTACTGAAATCTGAAGTGAAGGGCTGTGTGTGGAGGGGTGTCATTAAATACAGTAGCTAAAAACCTGACTCCTTTTCCCTCCCAGGGTCCAATTATCCCTAGATCAGATCCATCCCTCATATGAAATACCTTTTGCAGGGAAACACTCACCTATCATGATACCTGAAAAAGCCAAAATTAAAGCAGCCACCAATGCTGAAGTCACTACAGACAAGACCAAGGAGAGAGGGAGATGAACCACTGGCTCAGCTGTAACAGAAGCAGGAGAAGAAGGAATTAAATGTTTGAAATCATCTTCCAGTAGTCACTTTTTTTGCAGGCAGATTTTTCTGCTCTTCCTTCCATTTACTCATCTTTACTATAGTTTAGGAGCAACCGCTGGCATGATCAGTTCGCAGGATCTACCTCATTGTTTCGCTTTCCTCAGTTATTATCAAGCCATTAAAACAGATGGTTTGCTATCAGTGAATTAACATGTACATTTCCTAGGTACAAAAACAAGACCATAAAAACCAGGGGCAGGAGGCTGAGGAGATGAAAAGAACACTACATTGCCAGGGTTAAAGTGCTGCTATCAATGCCAAATTCATAAACACAGCAAAAGCAGGAGGAGGACTGCAATAGATCATCTCCTAAATGCATCTAAGTGAGGCAGAAAAACACAATAGCAGTTAGGTGTAGTACAAAGTATTCCATAGCATGGAATTCCATGCAGCCTCACTCAGGACCACAAGGCATTCAATGACCATCTACTAAGGTTTACGTCACCCTGAAAAATAACCATGCTTTTTACCCATTTTACAGATGGGAATGGTAAAAATACAGAACAATTTTCCCATGCCAGTGACAAAGCTGAAAGCAGGATCTCGAAACCCTGGAATCATTTGCTCTAATTGATAGGAAGGAACATGAAGCAAACCCAGTAATGGAGCTCTGAGCAGTTGGTTTTTCCAAGTAAGGCAAGTACAGACACTGTCTTTAGTTCTCCTCAGAGATCTCTCATGCAGAATTTCTTACTCTGCACCCACACCTTATATGTCCAAATCCACAAGAATTATATTCTCCTTCACCTTGTATGGTTTTTTTTTGGTTCTTAAGAGGGCTGACCTGGAATTTAAGTTTAGCTGGAAAATTCCTTCAGTGGACACACTTTCATGATTTCAGAGCAGAATGTGAGCATCAGCGCAATCAGGACTCTCCTCAGTGCTGCCCAGTATGCCAAACTTATACTGTAAAGCAAACCAGCAATGCTGCTTTGTGCACCAGTCCTCAGCACTGGTGTGTCTATATCCTAGCAAAATAACTCTGCAGCATATACAGCAGGGAAGAATGTAACATTCAACAGAAACGTGTTTTAAGAAAGAGACCAGATAACACTTTCACGATGCCTTACAGTCCAAACTACAGATTTTTCCCATGCATTTTCTGTTAAACATGCTAGCAGCCCACTCCATACGCCTACTCACCTATGCAAGACACACCATCCTCAGCCAACTCTGTGCCTGGCTCACAAAAGCAAATGACTTTTTGAGTCTCAAGATCAACACGGCACTCGTCCATCTCACAGTGACTGCAGTTTAGATGCAGCCTAATATCCACCTCTCCATGCCCCTCTGTCACTAGGGAGTGGATGAAAGAAGCTGAGTTAATTACTATAAAGATCATTCATATCGTTCCCTTGGGCACTGACAGAAACAGAGACATGGTGGTCATGTTTGCCAGATGTGGCAGAGTGGGCTCCATCTAAGGAACCGGTTTCTCCCCACCTTCCATAGCTCCTGTCCTTTTCTCATGTAGAAAATAACATCCAGCTAAATTAGCTCCACTGCAGTTGAGGTGAACTTGCTCTCTTTCAGCAAATAAGTACTACTAGGTTTGCAAGGAGGCTGCTGCTGAGCCTAAGGGATCCTTTCAGTGATCTGTGGGGCTCACCTTTCTCTTTTCTGGCCTTTAATCACTCTAAGATCAAACACTGCAATGTTTTCAAAATTTTCTGGCTGAATCTATCAGGTCAGGGTTCATCTGTGCTTGAAAATACTCGGGCTTTTTGAAAGCAAACTTTTTTTTGCGCACTTATTTTTGTATTTTCTGAACACATCGCAAACATATTCAAGACACTGGTGTTGCAGCATTTATCACTCCCACACCCTGCTGGGCAGCACTGCACTGTTTTCTCTAGAAACACCCTGGTCCAGCCTGGATATTTTGCTGAAGGATGCTCTATGGAACATGTTTGTTAGTGAATAGTCAGACAGTTTGTCTGTTTCCTTCCTAAATTATCTGAACTATGAGGTTCTGTTATCACTTTCCTTGGCCAAAATTATTCCATAGGTTGGTAGATTATATTGCTGGGAAGTGTTCTGCCTCCTCATGGTCATGATGACACTAAGCTGTACCCAAAGGCTTTTAAAGTGTTCTACAGATGGAAACTGTTCTTAACATGAAAGAAACTCACTTCTGACCAACATGAATACCTTTAAGCGCTGGAGTGTATAAAGTACCAATTGGATTAATAAAGGACACACCATCCTCCCCATCCATCTCTGGGTCATTGTCCACTGCAGCATTGCCACCTAAGTCAAACCAGAAGTTACCTTAACAGACTGAGGCTCATTGGCACTACAATACAGATAAGCATTGCAACATGCATGACTTCAGTATATTTAGGGAGGCATCCAAATGAGAAAAGACAATAAATCAGAGTATTTAACATATAGGTAACACTTAGCGAGTTGCGGCATGAATCACTGGTCATTCATCTCTAGGCCTTCAATTAAATTGCAGCAGCTTGCAACAATCAATTTCTCAGCTCTGTTATAGGAAGGCTGTTGCAAACTAAGGCCCAACTAAAGCATAAACTTCATCTTTAACCATTTGGATGCTGTGAAAACATATACGCCCTTCTCAAAATTAATGTGGCCAAGAGACTGGAAAATACCAGTACTCAAGGACTAAGTTCAGTACCCTGGTTGATCAAAGTAGGTACTGTGTAAGCAGAGGAAATGTGTAATCTGATATTCTTCCTCTCCTTTGCACCCTGAAAGCAGGGTGACCCATCAGGACTGGGGACTGAAAGAATTTGTGTTGTTCAGTTGTGCTTGAGCACATAGAACATATCAGAAGCAAAGTATGGGCGATACATAAAACATATTAGAAGCATAGTATGGGCCACATATTTTGTACTACAAGCATGCAATGAATCCCCCACCCCACCCAAAAATGGCTTTTCCTCTTTAACCATGTTCAGTGAAATTAAGTTTCTGTCATGTGAAGCATTCTGTTGGAAAAAGAAGCATTAAACGGTAACATTGGTACAAAACATGCACTTAATCATTTAAATTCATTACATCCTCTCAGGATTTCTAGTCTATTATGGACTTGATTTAAGCTGTGGAGGACCAGGGGTTAAAAAGTCTACCACAGTGCAGATGGCTGAAGAAACTATGTGGCCCAGGAGATTATGCCTTAGTAGAGATCTTGAATCAGGCCCACACTGGTTATAATCAACATAATGCCATCTGACAGCTGTCCTGAGACCCACAGCACATGAAATTAGCTCCTTGTTGACTGAAGTCAACACCACCATCATTATTAGGAGTGGTCCTGGCTGGCAGCCTGAGCCTCTGCCCCCAGAGACCACCTGTGCAGGACCAAGGCCCACCCACAGCAGGGCAGAGGAAAAGAAGCTGCATCTTTCCCCTGGCTTAAAGCCTGGCTGTTGGTCTCCAGGACCAAGGCACTCAAACCATAGGTACTGGCAAACAGGAGCACATAGCCTGTGGCTTCTCCTCCTCCAGCACTATAACCCCAAAATGGAAGGCTCAAGAATCACAGCAGGATCTTGACGGTACATTTTGCAGAGTGCAAAGCCAGGATTACAGCTGAAGGACTGACATCTGGCTATCTGCTCAAATACTAAATGCCATACGTTCATCTAGTGCTAAAAAGGCAACACACAGACATACTAGTACATAACAGTCAAATATGCTAGCTACAGGAGAATTATCTATCAGCATTTTGCTGATCATTAGCACTAAAGGAGGGGAAGGGACACCTTGAACACGAAGCCACTTTACCTATATATCCTCCGCCTCCTCCACCTGAGGAGCACCCCCCTCCACCCCCTCCGAAACCCCCTCTTGTCTCCCACCCCCACTTCTTCATGGCCTGGGGGCAGGATCTTCCTCCAGTAGCACCTTCCAGCAAGGATTTTCCTGACCACAGGAAGGAAGTGTTATCATTCCAGCCACCTCCACCACCTGCAGTTAAGAGAAGAGAAAAGGCACAGGTGGGGGTTATTTTTGTGTAAAAAAAGTACTGCAGAGATCTGCAGGACAAGCACTCCTTGAAAGCACTTCAGCTGAAAGCAAGAATTTCAAGCTTTGGTTAGAAGAGGGTGTGCTGGCTACACAGTGCTAGTGACCTTTCTGCAGGGCTTTTGACCACATTAATAATCTGCACCTCTTTTCAGCTCCCATACAAGGACAAGTATTTTCTATGGAAAATGTAAAAAGATATCCCTGCCTATTTCCCAGACACCTGTGTCTGGCTTAAAGTGACTTCCCCTTCTTTTTGCAAAAAATACTTTTGAAACAACCCTATGCCAGTTCTGAAGTGGATCAAGAGAAATGTAGAGAAAGGGATGTGAAAACACATCCCAGCCCCGCTCTAAATACAACATACTCACCAGTGACTCACTTTCAGCTCTGCTGGTTGTTCAGTCCAAGGTCTCTTCACAGAGACTTCTAGTCAGGGTGCAATTATGCTTTTTCTGCATAAGCCAGGGAAACTGTGAATATGTCTACACAGCACAAAAAAGTGCAGGGAGCAGGACAGACACATCAGCACTGCGAACTCCCACACCAAAAATCAAACAACTTTGCTTACCAGAGATGCTACATTATTTTGGGAAAATGCTGCCACTGCTATGGCTATACCATCTCTGATATCCCTATTTAGGCTAAGTATTCTGCATCGCGGGTACATCCTACACATATCTGTTGTACTTCCATGTTCCTCCCAAACTGTGTTTTCATGAGTTTCCTCTCACCTCCTGGTAAGGAGGCATTTGCGATCATCACATATTCACAAAGGTTTTCCTAAAAAGAATAAACTTTCCTTACCTGCAGCTCCTGAATTTCCATTCAGCCCTGGAATAGAGGAATCATTCTCCAGCCTTTCTGGATGAAATGTGTCTGTTTTGGCCCTGTAGGCCCTGCCACCACCTCCTGCTGCAATTATCAAGGGGACTGGTTCTCCATTCTCCATCTCAACAAATTAAACAATAAAGGCAGTGTTCAGATTGAGTCAGACACACAAATGGAAGTTCAACCACATGCTAGTTACTGCATATTGCACTAAGCAGGCATCTGGGACTGCTGAATGTGACAAATAAGCATTGTGTTATTTATGCACCCACATCCAAAGGAATGGCACTAGTCCTACCAAGTTCTGCAACACAGAACAGTGGCATTAGCAGCTCTGTGAATTGTACCCACAGTGCTGATGGCTCTTAGAAAGCTTGTAATGTTACTGTTTGATGACTTCCATCAAATGAAACAGCTAGGGAGCGCTGCTCTATGCAGTGCCAGATAGTGTCTCTACTGGTAAAGGACTGTTGCCTGAGCATGTAGAGTTATACAGAATTATCTAGAAGCTGTGTAATCTAAAAATATTGTTAACACCTGAACCCAGTGTTTGGAATAAGTACTATATTAGCTAGTACATGACAGAAAAGATCATTGGTCCCTAGCTGTAGAGTTGCCAACAGAAAACATACAGGCTATCCTCAGCTTTTCTTGCCATTGTGCACATGCCAAATATGTAGCTGAAGTCTGATGTTCTACAGTGATAGATTTGAATAAAGTCCTGTGGAATTTGCCCTTTGCTGTAGAATTATGCTTCAGCATCTCAGCTTGTGTTGAAAAAAAATCCAATTCAAACTATTATGTTTGCAAAGAAAACTCCAAGCCATTGAAGCAAATGTGGCCATACTGTGTAGCAGTTCTAAGAAGTGTGAAGGGCCAACTCAGCTCTCTACAGTTATCAAGTGGAAATGAAGGATATCCAGAGCTCACTTTGTGGGCCCTTCCCCAGAGGTGTATAAAGGGTCCTCAGATATTTCAGGCTGTGATACTAGAGGTAAGTAGTGGGGTGTGTTCATGTTGAAGGTGCATGGGGACTATGTTTTCATACCTTAAATATGTAAGTTGCACCTCCCCCGCCTCCACCTCCTCCTGCCCATTCATTGACGCTTCTGTTCACACGTATCTCTTCTTCAATCACATTGTTCTCTCCAATGCAGACTTTCTGTATAACATCATTAGTCTGCAAACAGAAGACCAGGTCTGAATTCTTGTAACAAATCTCCATGTCCTTGCATGCACAGAGCCCTTGTGGACCCTTCATCCTTCCAAACAAGTAAATTGTCCTCCAGTGAAACTACATAAGCAGAAGCAAGTGAATGCTCTTCTAGAAGTGCTTTTTGCTTCAACCTTTGTCAGAAGAATTTGTTGCAACTGAACTTGAATTATTTTGAAGCGAGCTCAGTACTGATATCTATTACCATGTAAACCAGTTTCATAAACATTCAAAATACAAGATGTATCAGAATTTACTGCAAATACTTCCCAGCATTAACTATCTGTATTTCACAAGTAGGGGAAGAGAGTAACTCAGCGATGATGTGACTTGCTCCATGTCACCCAAAAGCCAAATGCCAGAGATGCAGAGAAAACCCAAGTTTCTTTAATCCTCCTCCAGTACCCCATTGGTTGTAGCCAGGCAGCCAATGTGCATCTATCCAGAATGAAGGTATATTGGTGGCTCATGTAGATGTACCAGAGCTAGCTTTAACCTAGGTAGTCATAGCATGGGCAGTAGCAATGAGCTTAGCATAAACTAGCCAACTAATACTGACCTAAACTTCCAAGCAAGTTTCGATGTTCATCTGACACTTAGCCTGTAGCAGCAATCTTACTTAATGACCAGTGCTAGCTAGTTCAAAGCCTACCGAAACAGCTGCAATCCCACCTTTGATTGCAATGTTGACCTGACGTTAATAGAAAATACCTCACTAAAAAGCCTCCATATTTCCTACTTCACATTTTTTCCCCCTCTACCAATTAGCACCAAATGTCATGAACCTTCTGTATTTGGCAGATCACACAATTCACTAACTGATTTCAAGCACAACATTAAACCATCATTTATAAGTACTTCTGGAGTATGACCTAAGAGAGGTAACTGTCGCTTCAGTTTTAAACTGGAGCACTAAAGTGCACGACAAGCAGGACTCAGTTGTGAGTATTTGTAAGTTGCAAGCTTTGCTTCTAGTTTACTTTATACATTTCATCTCAGCAGCACTATCTTCTTATGCACACTGAACTCAAAGTCAATGACACTTTAAGAGAAAAATGCACAAGAAGTTGGATACAGTAGGATTGACCTGCTTCCCTCTACTTTCATGTATGTGGGTGTTTGTTGGAAGAGGAACTCGATAAAAGCATCCTTAAGTTACAAATTATTCTGTTGACCACAACCGAATTGTGTTGTGCCAGAGAATGGATTGCATCCATTTTGTGTGCACAGACTTGTCTATGGAACTAAACAATCCTGCTTTCCCTAGTCTTCCCTCTCCTTAATTGATGTGGAGTTGGGTGAGGATTATTAATAAAATGACAAAGTCAATGACCCAAAGGAACCACTAGATTACAATTGAATTTAAAAAAAAAATCCTTCATGGCAAAGACATAACTGATTACAATCCAATCTAGTGAAAGTCCCTTCTACAAGTCAATGCAATCTCTTTGCCTCAATGAAAGAATTACATTAGCACTCAATAAATTCTCACTAAGATTACAGTGGCCTGCAATTTAATGAGTCCATATATTACACTCAGCTGGAATGTCCTAGTTACAGACATTAGATGGAAGTTTGAGTTAAGGCATTTCTCATTTCAAAGAGGCTTCATATTAATGGTTTGTTGGTAGCTATGTATAATTCCAGTTTAAACATTATTTACTTCAGCATCCAGCATTGAGGACCCCTCTTTCTCATCAACATGCTTCAATCTTTCTCTGCTGTAACAGGCTGCTAAGCTTTCATCTTTTGCATGCCAGCCATTAACAGTTGAGAAATGCACAACATTAAAATGTCCAGTTCAAACCTGTAGGTGAAATTTCATCAGACAATACTTAGTTTCCTCTATAAGAACCTCCTATTCCCTCATCCTTCAAAGAATAGTAAACGATTAATAGATTATTGTGCCTGCAAATGGTGGAGGTTGCATCTTTCTGTCAAGGCATTTGTAGCAACAATTGGTTAGTAACACAAAAATCAGGACTGACCAAGCAGTGATAAATTTGTCTCTTCCACTCCCATACAGAGAATAACCAAACAGGCCCAGTGAGGTGGGTGTCTCCAGAGTACTATGATAATAACAGGGCTTGGGGGCTAGGCCCAATAGCAGAGCAAAGACAAAGCCCTGTGAAGTCAACCTTGAAGACCGATCTCCAGAGGAAAGGAAGGCAGGGTTGTCTTTTCTCTCCAAAAACCCACACAGATGCTCTGAGATAAACAGATCAATCAGGAACCTGTAGTGTATTATCAATGGGGCTTGAGTGCTGAAGAGGAAGTGAGCACAGTGACATGGTACTTAATCTTTTCACATTCATGCCCTTCCAGTAAAACTGTAGCTATCCACTGAACCATATAACCCAAAACCCCTCAAGGACAATGGTTTTCTCGGTAAACAGACAAAATTGCATGGATCTGTAGAAGGAGTTAAGGCAAAAGAGAAAGGCAAACACTTACACTAGGACAAGCATCTTCTCCTTGCTGTCCCACCAAGATATACAAAGTATCATCCTTCTGGAGGTCAAAAATTCCCAGCACAGACACGCCATGGGACCGCACCATGGTGTTCTTCCCTCCTTTCCCACCCGCAGCTCCATAGCCTGAGATGCTGTAGGAAAGAGAAAACACAAGCAGGAGAACCAATACATATAGCACATATGAGTAAAGAGAATATTAAGCATGAGATTGACATGGGGAGATTTGAGAAACCAGACAACATAACTGGTCCTGGTAGTATGGACCAGATGGGAAAGAGCTCTCCTATTCCCAGGACCAGAGGAATATAGAAGAGTAGATGGACACAACACTACCTGCAGTAAAGAAAGAAGGCAAAAGCCCTTTATCTCGAGCACTCAAGATTCAGAGGTCCTTATCGTTGTTGATGTACCCAAAGATTTGGCTGTACCACTGTATTGCTCAGCTCTTTCCTTTCCCTTTCTAAGTACATGAACAATTTACGTATTTGAAGCACCTTTTATCAAAGAATTTCAAAGCACTTTATAAGACAGAGTTACTCAAACTTCTGACAAAGTGGTGGTACAGCAAGCTCAATTTATATCTGAAATAAGCAGGTGATTCTCCACTGACATTAGCAGCTATTTCCATGAGAGCAAAATTCAACCTGGAGCACGTAACCAGTGATTGCAGGGCTGAGAACATGAAACTTCTCGGCTTCCTACCAGTCACAGTACAGGTGCTCTGCTTCAACTCCTCCTTTCCTCTTGTGTCTGGGTGGTCTTTGCCCAGCACAGTCCTGCATGCAAACAGGCTACAAAGTAGATGAACCAGCAGAGCCCATTGTGCATGAGCACCCTGAGCAGTTTGGGCAGCCAGATCACTTTCAGCCAGGATTACCATGAGGAACTCACCTTGTGATAGTGCTCTGAGGCAGTCAGCATGGAGCAGTTCTGATGTCAAAGCAACTATGGAGCATCAAATGCCTCATAAAGCACATTAGATCTTCGCAGTGTGACATATTATGTACATGCCACTTTCGATAACCAAAGCAATAATTCTTCAGTAAGGCTGCACTGCAGCCAACAGAAAAAGTGATGGACACAGCACTGGGCTACCCTGAACAGATGCTGCATGAATCTAAAGAGAGTTGATCTGCTGTAGAACTTTGTAATGGCTAATGAGGTGCACTATCAGGCGCAGAAAGCTGGCAGGGCTAACGGGCTGCAATTAGAGGCCATATTTCTCTGTGTAGGAACAGATTTTTTGCATACAAGCAATGATTTCAGGAAGTTCAGGAAAACTCATTTCACCCTCACTTAAAGGCTGCAGACAAATAAAACCCAGCAGATTCAGGTGACAGTCATTCCCTACTCAAAATGGGAGTCACTATTGGGTTATCTTGACTTCAAGTTTTACCAGGATCCCTTTCCTAGGCACAACTTTCTTTCTTTTACAAAAGCCATTGAACCATACTGGCCTTGCAGAAAGATTCAGACCACCCTGAGATATAACCAGAACACAGAATATCTTCCACTATCTTGCTCCTTTTCTTTTAATGTGATACTTTTAGGAACTGAAAAAGAAAACTGCATCTTTAGGAAGGATCATGACAGAGCTGAGTGCACTGGCTGTGCAAACCAGGGCTGGAGAAAAAAGTCCACCTCTAACTACACAGGTCATGGGAAACACTGGAGCTAGTTTTAAGAATATGAGAAAATGCAGTGCCTAGGCCAGCCAACCTAGAAAGACACCTTTTTGCATTTCACTGTGCCGTGTTCTTGTGCTACTTTACAAGAAAGGACCAGAGAAGATAGGACAGTGGAAGTGACAACAAATAGGGCACTCAGCAAGATGGACCAAAGAGTCTTGTTTTAGAAATGGAAAGAATTTTGATAATGGATGGTAATGCGTAATTTATTGCAGTTCACTTTCCTCATACTCGAACATAGGCCTAGATATGTGATGACAAGACCTTCTGAATGCACAGAAGGAAATCTGGAAGCAAAAATATTATTTTATATTTCCTAACTTTATTGTTACACAATGTGCAGTGCTGTGGCAGGAAACCAAATTATTTTGTCTATATCAGCACTGGAGCATGTAGGACTCCACTCTTCAAATCAAGCCACCTACAGTGTGTGGCAGCGTACCCAGACCTTCATACATGGTGGCGTATTCTGGGTGCGGTTTGCTTGTGCCAGCAGAGTTTTGTGCAACATTGAGCCTTCTGTCTTTGCATTTTAATATTGCATATTCTGCCTCGTGTTCACAAATCTATATCCTTCTTACGCAATTATCAGGAATGTAACTCACTGCTCTACATTACACAATGTAAAACACACTGATGTGGCATAATAACAGCTTTCTTAAGAGCCCAGCAGTCAGCTGGAGGATTTTATCTCTGGGTCAGTGTAAGGAACGGTCTGGCTCATAGTTTAAA